TGCAGACAGGTGGATGTAGCTCGTGAATGTGTGGACTCATTCTGGGGCAAAGTTGAGTAACAAAATGATTGGGGTCTGTGTGGAATGGAAGTAAAAGAAGGCTTTTAAGCATTGTTTAGATAGAGCAAGCATGGATTTATGTAAATAGAGGAGGATGGCAGGGAAGTTATTCAATTCTTCATGTTGGTCTTGTCTCCCCTGCTAGCTTCAAAGTTCCATGATGACAGAAAGCACACCATGTTTCTCTAAGCTCCTCTATGGAAGTGACTCTTACTGAAGGGCAGGAGGAGGGTGTAGATATGATTTGAAAAGGCATATTTGGTATATGTATTTATTCCAAGTTTAAACCACAGAAAATGAAGCACAACGAAGCTTACTTACTGGCTTTAGTTTTCTTACTGTACCTGGGGATATGCAGGCAAGAGAGTAAGAACACAGCATTGGGGACACAGATGGTTTGTACATAATAAAGATTATATAACCACCATTTATTGAACACTTAGTGTGTGCATAGGCTCTGTGCTAAGTGTTTTATCTGTGTTATCTCATTGAATTTTTACAACAGTCTTGTGAAGTAGTCATTGATTGATTCAAAATATACTGAGTGCTTCAATGTGAACTCAACAACTATTTCCCTGAATGGGCGAAGGGAGTGATAATGAGCTAATTATGTGTAGAGTGGTGAACAGATTCACTGGTGTTCAGGATAAGAAATGAGGGTGGTGAGATGACGGAGAGCTGACAGCAGTTGCTGGGAGTGCCTCAGAGCTTGAGCATAGCTGGAAGGGTGGAGTGATGAGGAATCACCATAGATTTCTGAGCAGAAGAGGATTATGTCTTGTCTTCATCCATGGAAAGGACATTGTTAGGGTGGAGCTGGGGGAGGCTGGAGACTGGAAAGGGATCAGGCACTTGGGCATGTCCACAGTCCACAGTAAGTATCTATCATAAGCCCTTCCTTGACCTCATTGTGGCATCTGTTCTTGCAGCCAGGGCTGCCCCTTCAGAGCTAAAGGCAGAGACTGGTTGTGGAAGCATCCAGACTTCCCTGCCTTGCCATCTAGGGCAAGGTGGCACAGAGGAACCAGCCTGACACACAGCTGTGCACAACTCACAAGAGGGAAACTCACTGGGCTTCACAGAAGTCTAGCAGGTAGAATGAGGGTTAAGGAAAGTTCTTTACGGGAAGATCATATTTCCACCCAACATGTGCTATTAGTCTTGTCACTGCTCAGGATGGTAGTTGGAAGGCTGAATTTGGGAGGCTTTTAGGGGTATGCCTATTCTTTCAGAGAAGTGGTAAAGTGAGCTAATTTCAATGTTTCACTCTTTAGGTATCTGCTAACCAGTGTGGGGCTGCCCAAAGCATGGTTGGCCATTTGCCCAGGAACTAATGAGATAACATCCCCCTGCTATACTTTACAAAACAGGCAGGGAACAACAGTTATTCCCTGGCCCAGTGGCCTTGCAACTTGAAAACTGCCTGTGATGTAGTGGAAGAAGTATGAAACTTGGGCTCAGGTTATCTGTGTTCCAATCCTGTTTGGTAGTTTACTGGCTGTGCAATCTCAGGCAGGATCCCTCATCTCTGTGAACATCGATTTCCACATCTATAATATCTGTCTCATGATATGTTGTGAGGGCTGTCTAGGATAATACATGGGAAAGCATTTTGGAAAAAATGAAACATTTTACTATTTATTTTTATGTTCATGCATTGCTAAGTTCATTTTGACCTATCTTAAAAAGGAGTCAGGAAATGGTAGGGGAGATAGTGGAAAGACTGTTGCAGAGGCTCTGTTTCTCTCTGCAAGGCTGGGGCAATGAGAGCTATTCTACAAGGCCTTTTCCTCCTGGTAGGCTCGAGAAGCAGAGTTTGAGGCTGAGCAGGAGAGAATCCGGAGAGAGAAAGAGAAGGAGATCGCACGTCTGAGGGCTATGCAGGAGAAGGCCCAGGATTACCAGGCAGAACAGGTACCTACTTAGTCTCGGCTTCCCTCTGCCTCTCCCACTCCCTTGACAATTCCTTTGACAGCCTGTAAAATGGCCTCAAGTGCAGAGATATAGAAGAGAGGATGCAAATTATCTAGCCTGCTGTAGTGAGAAGGAAGGGTGGGCCTGCTCCCAGTGCCTATGGCAGCAAGGATTGAGCAGTGCATTATGTGCTTAGGGTTCAAGGGAAAGTTTTTGGCTGCTACATAAAGAAGAACTTTCAGCCTTAACTAGCCAATGAAATGTGTCACCAGAGGATACTGGCATCTCCAACATTAGCAGTTTTTAAAATTAGAAGCAATTGCAGAACTGCCTGGAGGTGTTTGAGGTACAGGGAAAGAATTGGGATGAGTGGGGTGAAAGGACAAGATGACCCCTCAGGGTATCTTCTGACCCAAAAGTTCTATGACAGGACTCCATTTATTCTTTCCTAGAATAACTTGCTGCCAGAGAAATTCATGGTGCTGCTCAAAGCAGACTGTGTCAGAGTCTGTAGGTAGGTGTCTTCCTAAAGGCACCTGGTCTCTACCTAAGGTTATTTTGCACCCTCACTGGTCCCCCTCACCCTCTCCTTTCCCAGGATGCCTTGCGGGCCAAGCGCAACCAGGAGGTGGCAGACAGAGAGTGGCGCAGAAAGGAAAAGGAAAATGCAAAGAAGAAGATGGAAACAGAGGCCAAGCTGCGGAAAAGTCGTCTGGAACAGGTGGCTTTCAAGGAGCACACTCTGGCCGTTCAGGTGCAACGGGACCGCGATGAATTCGAGAGGATTCTTCGGTAGGAGGAGCCTGGGGACCTTGGCTTCTTTTCCTTGTACTGTAGCAGGGATGGTTCATGTTGGACAGAGAGAAGCTTTCTGGCCTGTTAACAGACAGATGCTCATCTACCTTGACTGAGTTGGTGAGATCATTCTAACTAGATGGTTGAAATATTTCAAAGCCACCTGAGCCAAAAATTTTATGATTAGAAAACTGGAAAATAGCACCCAGAAGTGTTTTAAGAATATGGGGATTATCAGGGGGATTATTTACCCTGGAGCAGAAAAGGTGTCAATAAAAGTATAAATCTGGTCCCTTTTTCCCCCAGCCCCATATCCCTCTGCACATTAGGGATGCAATTGAAGCAGGAGAGGTTTAGGTGAGATAGCGAGAAGAACTTCACACACTAAGGGTTGTGAGTGGTTGGAGCAGGACTTTAAGGGAGCTCTTTGCCATTCCTTTGACAGATAGCATAGTAAAGATAAATTCAAGGCTCTGTTCTGGATGCCATGGAGGACAGTAGAAATTCATAAAATACTGCTCTTGCCCATCCCATAGGAAGGAGGTTAGAGAGTCATATTTGAATGGACCTCACCTATATTTTCATCTATGTTTCTTGCTTTGCAGCTCTTCGTCTTTTTATTTTTGTTCTCTTTGGGCTCCATAATTCCAACACATGAGTAGAAGCTGAGCATTCACATCTCACACTGTTTTGCCCCTCCCCCAAAGCAGTTAGCAACCACAGCCACCAGTGGCCTCCCTCTCTGCTCTATTTCCTACCAGTCAGATCTTCCCCCACCAGACCCGGCCCCTGGGAACATTCTCCTGGCCTGAGAAGGACTCCCTCCTTGCTCTGGTTCAGACTCTATAAGATCAGAATTTTTCAAAAGGTAACAAACAAAATTTGAATTGGGGGGATAATAATAACAGAAATCCTGCTCAGATAAGTAGAGATTTAACAGTGCAACCCAGCTTTTTTTGGTCTACATGCTCAAGGTCCTTCTCTTGGTACTGCTCAGTTAGTTGCATGACAGACTAGGCTACCCCGACCCCTAGCCAGATGCAAAGCAAATCTTTAGGAACCTCTGTCCTTGCCAGAGCCAGATTCCTGGTCTTTTATTGGACTGTGGGCCCCAGCCTGTCCCCACTGGCTGTAATGCCCTTTGGCTCTGTAGCTTTCCCTGCCCCCAGGCTTGTGCCAAGGTCACTGGACACCTGGTAAAGAAGGCAGCTTCCTAAATACCCCCAAAGATTCTGACCTTGGGCATCAGTCTGCCTTCCAGATGTCTCCCCCGTCACCCTTGGCCTCTATGCCCTTGGACATCTGTGTTGCCTTTAGCAGGCACTAATAAATTTTAATGGAATGAAATTAAAGTCCTACTTTTGCTGCTGACCCATTTGTCCCTTCTTTGCTTTATTTGCCTGAAATATGCCCTAGCCAGTTATTAAAGCTAGACCAGCTCTCTGGAAAAGTTCAACTTGACTTGTTATTTTAGACCTAGTGTTTCCAGGGCCATGTGACCACCATGGTGGGCCTCGTCACTCTAAGAGCATCTCTGCCACAGCCAGCATTCCAACTTTTCTGACTTTAAAAGCACAGCCTTCTGTATGGCCTATATATGGACTTCCCGTTTCTGGGCAGAGGGATGCCTTTAACCCCCAGCCTGTGACTAAGCAGAGATAACTGACCTACCCTATCAAGTGGTTCTAAGAAATGCCTGGGAGCTTTTGAACAATCCTGATGGCCAGGCTCTCCCTGCATGGTTGTGATTTAAATGTTCTAGGGCGAGGCTGAGGCATCAGTGGTTTTTGAAAGCTTGCAGGTGATTCTAATATCAGCCAGCCTTCGGAATCACTGCCTAATCCTGGGGCATGACCAGGCTCTTCTCCATTTGGGCTTTCAGCGGGCTCCCATCTCTGCTGCTCTCTAGTGACACATGCGGGTCCCTCTTTCCCGCACTTAGCCCTCCACTCAGAATAGTGTGAAACAATGGAAAACCGTACCACACACACGTAGTAAAACAATGGCAAGGCAAACAGGAGAGTCTTCTTGCTGTCATGCAGTGTCTCAGCAGTGGGGATTTGGTGTGTAAATACAGAGGGGCAAGGAACCGAGCAGCTCTCTTCTGACAAACTGGGAAGGCTCCGTAGAAGGTGTAGAATTTTAGGAGATGTCTGTGTGTTTGCCTGGTGGAAAGAGTTGCTTGAAGTTGAGAGGATACTCCACGTATGATGGATCTTGGAAGGCAGCTAGAGGGAAATGAATAAGTGAGGGAAATAAATAAGTTTTCTGTACCTTTGTTGGGGTATGAGTGACTATGGGGGAGGAGATCCCTGCCTAAGATGATTTTACAGTTTGTTTCTGTTTTTGATTGCACTGAAAAAGAAATTAGATGGTAGCTCAAGATGGCCTACGGCTGCATTTTCTCTGAGATGTTAATATATTTCATTTGAGTTTTTTCTGAGCCTATGTAGTTGCCATTAGCAATTTTCTCCCTGATGTCAGGGTCCTGTAAGAGGCTTCTAAGAGGAATTTGGAGTGATGGATCAATAAGAGAACTGAGATATCAGGCTGAGCTCCTTCCTTTTTCCAGCAACCAAGGCACAGCTAGCATTGCAGACTTCTTTTAAGTTTCTAAGCATTCCCTTTGTTGGTTTGTTAATGTTATGAATATTGTTACTGGAAGGAAGGAAGGAATTTTAGAACAAGCTGGGGAGGAATTACACATTGTTATCACGGAAGAACAGGAGCACGAACTCCCAGAGGGTGAAACACTGGGTGTAAGACCAGCTACATCATTTGCAGGGCCCAGTGAAAAATGAGAATATGGAGCCACTTGTTCAAAAATTATTAAGAATTCCAAAACAATAACAGCAGAGCATTAAACCAAGCACAGGGCCCTTCTAAGCATGCTTATGACATACAGTCATGTGCTGGGAAGCTGGTCCTGGCTGGGTGGGAGGAGGGAGCGTGCATGGTGGCAGCCTTTGGGGCTGATCTTTGAACCTCAGAAGAGAGCTGGAACCTGGGGGGCTGCGGTGTCTGAAGCATGTCCACCCAGGAGGCTCCCCCAGGACCTTTCTTTGCCTGGATTAGCTCAGCCCAGCCCATTCTCCTCCTTGCCTCCCTCCCCCCAGGGCTCAGAGAGAGCAGATTGAGAAGGAGAGGCTGGAGGAGGAGAAAAAGGCCACAGGGCGCTTACAGCATGCCAACGAGCTCCGGCGCCAGGTGCGTGAAAACCAGCAGAAGCAGGTGCAGAACCGGATCGCCACCTTCGAGGAGGGTCGGCGCCTCAAAGAGGAGGCCCAGAGAAGGCGTGAGCTCATTGATGACGTCAAGAAGAAAAAGCTGGAAGAACTGAGGTGTGCTGGAATTCCTCCCTCCCCCAGCTCCTCTCCCCTGCCCCCAGGAGACTGCAGGGCAGGCTGGAAAATGTAGGATTGTGGTGGTGGGGATAAAGGGGCCATGACAGAGGTGCTCAGGAGGGAGGGCGGAAAGTTCTGGGACTGGGTCTTCCTGGCTCTCTGGGAACTCCTTGGCAGGATGCTGGAGGCTTGACATGAATGTGTTTGGGGGGTGGATTGTGTGAGCAGGGTTTGGGGTTCAGGTAGCAAGGTTCTGTAAACCCTGCCCAGAGCCCGCTTCCTCCTGCCTCCTCTCTGGCCCCACGCCTCCCCTTATACCTGCCCTATGTGTCCCGGCAGAGCCACTGGCCTTCCTGAGAAGTACTGTGTTGAAGCTGAGCGAAAAGCTAACATCCTGCCAACCACCTCTGTGAACTGAGGGGGAGCATCTGTGGTCCTCAGATGCCTTCGAAGGACAGATCCTGCCCAGTCTCTGGGTGACCATAATTGCTGCTAATCTAGATATTTCATAATTACAGATTAAATCAATTCAACGTCTCTAAGGAAGAGCTCAGCTTTCTTGTGGGGATGTGTCTGCTACAGGGTACTGAAGTTGGGGCAAGACAGGTTATGTGGTACCCAAGCATGGGCAGTGTGATGGTCAGGGAATGGGAGGATGACTCTTTCATGATTGTCTCTCCTAAGCCAGGAGGTCCCTTTGTCCTGGTGTCTCCTGACTTGTTCGTGACCTCCCCCAGGATGTCCACTTTAGGCACGGTCTTGTCTCTGCCCCCACCCCACACCCAGTTCAGAGGCATTTCAGAGCACTGAGGCAGAGCTACAGATGCTCTCTCAGGGAGGGCTGGAGCCAGGGCTGGGCTGGGCAGGGCTGGAGAAGGAGGTTCCAGGGCTGGCTGAGGCAGAGCTCGTACCCGGTCACAGCTGTGACTCAGACCACATCTGTGGAGGGGGTGGTGTTGAACCTGCGGCTCACTCCTCCTATCTAGGCCCTCTCCTACCAGAGCCCTTTCAACTCCAGGCAGTGCTGCAACACTGACACCTGCTCTGTCCCCACTGGGGCATTCCCTGGGCCCAGCACTGCTCACCCAGACACAGCTGCCCCTCGCTCATGGCCAGCTCCCCTCCGTCCACCACACTCCCGTAAGTGGGGATCCCCAAAGGCATTTTCATCTGTTTTCACTTCCTCTTTTTGCCCCTACCTACTCTATTGATTCATTCACTCGTTCAAATACTTACTGAGTGCCTACCATGGGCCAGGTCCATTCCAGGTGCTCAGTGAACACAACAGACCTGGCTCCACCCTCATGGAAGCCTCCTGCCCTCCTGCTTTCTGCCCGAGCTGCTCCACACCATATTTCTTGTGCCTTTAGTATAGTCTCAGCCTTTTCAGAAGGACCCTTGTTATCAGGCTCCCATTTTGGGCTTCCAGGGATGGAGCTGGTTCCCTGTTTTTGTATTCCCTGAGGGGAAAGGGCTGTCATCCAGCTGCCATCACTATGCCTCTCCTCCCCCCGCCCCACCAGGGGTTTGTTCCATTTCTCAAATCTAGAGCCCAGTCTTGTCTTACCCGGTGTGTCCTGCACTAGAGGAGGCAGAGGACAGCTGCTAGGTGCGTCTGGGTGTTTACAATGCCAGGTTACAAGGGCCTCAGGCAAGAGTCCTCTTTTCATAGGGCCCAGGCAGAGTCAGCAAGCTGCTTCTTGTGCTTCCTCTTCCTCAGCAGCCGCAGCCTCCCCAGGCACCTTCTCCCCTGTCCCCAACAGGGAAGACTGTTGCCCCACCCAACCAGGTGGGCCACCCCAGCAGCTGTTTGGAGAAGAGGCTTTCCCACCTTCCTCCTCAGTATCCCTAGCTGCAACTGTCCCACCTAGGGAAGCTGATACCTTCCTCCCAGGGGTCTTGGAAGATGTGGTATGCATCCTAGGATGGGAGAGAAGACATGGCAATGTCACTGAGATGCATGACTTAGGTGTGGGACTGGGCAAACTCCAGGCACCCTTCTGCAGCTGGCATACTGGCTCAGGTTCTCTCTGAGCATCACCTATTGCTCAGTTGATACCTGCAGGGACCAAGGAACACTCCCTTACCTATTTCAGGGGACCCTCTTTTCCAGGAAAGCCAGAAAGAGCCTTGGGTGCCTGGAGTTTGCCTAGTTCCACACCTAAGTCATCCATCTCAGGGCTGGAAAGAACGGGCCCCATGGAGAAAGAGGTCAAGGAGAAAGGAGGTTCTATACCCATTGCTAACTTCTGAGCCCATATAGAGAAAAATGGGCCAAGTTCACAGGTTGAGCAAGGTGAAAAATGCAGGTCTGTGGGGCCTAAAAGATCCCGAGGCCTAAAGGTGAGACTTTCTTGACCTTGCCTGTTCACAGGGTAGTTACAGGTGACTTGAACAAAGATCTGGCTTTGGAGAAAGGAGAATATAGCCACCTCCCAGCAAGTGAAGATGGCTTGGGAGGAACTGAATTCTGCCCCCAGCATTGCCTCCTCCACCATCTTCAGGAATTCTCTATCTTGGAATTGGCTCATGATGTGGAAGAGAGGTTTGATTTCTCTCAGGATTCCTGAGAAGCCCACACAGGCTTCCATGGGCTTCAGGACTAGCCTGACTCATCCGCAGGAACCTAGTTCCTATAAGTGGAACACTCCTGAGAGCCAGACAGGCAGTTGGGATCTGAGGCCAGCCAGCTACATCAGGGCATCTTTTATAAACCTTCTACTCTCACTCAGGAATGGCAGTGGGATAATTACAGAGAGAAGTCCCCTGGCTGGAAGTGGGGACTGGTGGCGTCAGGCTGTGGGACAGTGGTGGCAAAGCAGCAGGAGACAGTGTGATTCCAGCTTGCAGAGCGGGGGTGGGGCCTGAAGACAAAGAAAAGAGAAAAATGAGTATTCTTTTGAGGACTCTCTAGGCCCCTCAGCTCAGAAATTAGGAATAACCAGCCTCAGTCTTGCTGCTAGAGAGAGGTTGAACCTTCAGTGGGCAGTGCTTTCTGCTAAGGAGGCTTCAGCTTTCCCCTCCTCCTGCTCAGAGCTGGAAATGAGCTCTGTGCACCCCTCCAAGCCACTGAAGCAGCCCAGAGTGTCTGGGAGGCTGCAAAGGAGTAAAGTGGTGCTAGGGAAGTCTGGGGATAGTAGGAAGTGCCGTTTGGTGCATTGTCTTTGTTGACGTAAAAAAAAAAATTTTTTTTAAAGTGCCCAAACCATTACTGACTTTGTTGTATGGCTATGTGATTTCTTCATATCTTATTTTTACGTTATACTATGTATAAGGTAGATGTTAGCTTGCAGCCCCCTGTCTTCTGCCCTTTGGGTCTTCCAGTCCTTGCAATATCAGACCGGGCTGGTCTAGCCTAGAAAATCCAGTGGTTAGAAAAAAAGAAAAAAAAAAAAAATCCAGTGGTTGGGCTCCACCTTGGAGCACTGAGTCAGATCTGCAGGCAGCTGCCTCCTGGGCACGTGTCCCCTGGCTCCTGGCTGGCTGGGCTCTATGACCTACCTGCCTGCATGTGCCTGTTGCCCATACCACGCTCTGCTGTGGCTTGGAGGCGGTCTCAGAGTTTTGCACCAGCCAGAGAAGCAGCTCCACTTGGGCATGACTCAACAGCCTGCCCTGGTGGCTAAGCCACGCTGTCCCTGACTCAGTGGGGTGCCAGTATGTCCTTCACTACCCCTAAAAGCCTGGGCACCCCCATATGTGACTTGGGTCACAGCTGGATATTAATTGGTCTCAGTAAAAGCACTTTGATTAGGCTTGGATGAAAGGGGCCAAGAGAGTTCAAAGCCAGACAGGGCTTTTGGGGTGAGGAAGGGTGGCAGCTGTTTAAGTGACAGTGGATGGGAAACGCTGGAGTCTCAGACAATAAGTCTGGGTTCAGAGGCCATGGAGGCTCAGGAGCAGATAGTTCCTCACTCTGATTTCTCACTCTCACCCCTCCTACCTGCACAGAGTGGGAGCTTGGGAGAGAACTGTGGGAGAAGGGGACGGCTCACTCCAGACCAGAGGTCTCTTCCTTTCATCCCAGGTTGCTGCCCAAGGCGACCCTCCTCCCCTACCACACTCAGATATACCTGGGGAAATCATGCCGAGGTTACCTGAAAGATCCCCATTTCCAACATCATGGAGCTATTCTTAATTTGGCTCGCTTTCAATAACTCCCACCTTCCATCTGTTGTAGCTCCCACAGCTCACGCCCCTCCCCGCTGGGTTGTTCCCCTTAAGGTGCAAGCTCTGTGTTCCTTTCTGCATTCTCACCCATGTCCTCTTGGGAGAGGGGTAGCCATCATCTTAGTGCCCCTTGAGCATCATGGAGCTATTCTTAATTTGGTTCGCTTTCAATAACTCCCACCTTCCATCTGTTGTAGCTCCCACAGCTCACGCCCCTCCCTGCTGGGTTGTTCCCCTTAAGGTGCAAGCTCTGTGTTCCTTTCTGCATTCTCACCCATGTCC